CAGCTGGATGCATCCACAACTACAGATTCTAAATTTATTTTTTTTAGCTGTCGGAAAAGGAGGGAGGGAGGGAAGAAGGAAGGAAGAAAGTAAATTGTGTAGTCCATTTAGTCTGGGGTTTAGAATTACTGGCCATGAGATTTGTTTATTTATCAGATTTCTACACCGCCCGTCTCACCTTAGTGACTGGGGGGGGGGGGTTACAACAACACAATAAACAATATAAACACATGAATAAAAGCACAGGTTAAAAAAATTACAAATTAACAGTTAAAGAGATCTCTTTCCTAATATGTTTCTTCTTGGATTTCAATGTGATACAAATCCTTCGCCCTTCGTACATTTGGCAACAGATTTCTACATTGAGTTCAAGATGATGCACCTAAAAAGTTCATGGTGAATATGCAGGGCTGCGCAATAGGCTTTCTAAGGCTGAACAGATTCTTTTGGCCATAATATCAAACTGTTGCCTGACTAAAGCGTTCTACAATAAAATCTAGACTTTCAAACATTTGCCTGAGCATATTAATTTCAAGTGTTGATGATATTTTGTAACATTTTAGTTCACAAAGTCCTAAGAATGCAGTTTAAATAAAGATTGTCTAACTTATGTAGTGGGCCTGCTGAAGGCATCAAATGTAATTCTTTCAAATGAACAGACTTTTTTTTTTCATCAGGTATTCATATTCCACCTTTCAACAAGTTTGGGTGACTTCTATTATTAAAAATAGACAAAACACATAGAAAATTGATAGTGACTGTGTTTAGATAGAAAAAGTGTTTACACACACATGGATGCACACGTACACATCTGTGCGTATGTGTGTGTGTGTGTGTGTATACGCACACAGACCCCTCTCTATATGTATACACCTATATGTATTTGTATACATATATATATGTATTTGTATACATATATACTGTACAGATATACACATGTACATACATATACAGTACACATACATATATATATTTGGGGAAATAAAATTACTTATAGCTGAGATAAACAGAAGTCCCCCTGAAAAAAAATATTCTGCCATTGGTCACTAGAAAAGAACAGATAGAAAAGGGAGTCCTCCTTCTAGAAGAATGCAAGGTCATATATGTGGCCAGGTGATCTTTCAACTGTCCTTGCCCCAAGAGAAAAATGATCAGCTCTGTCTACGTGAATTTTTGAGAACATTTTGATGTATCTGGGCTTTATCTAGGCTAATATTTCTTGGCATTTGGAGCCCGAATGAGACTATATGCTCTCCAATTCCTTATAGGCATAGTCACATCTATTCTTTCGGCTTGTTCATTCATCCCAACAAATGTCCTTTATGTGGTTTACACTGACTCAGCCCATTTTTAAAAAAAATTGCTGACTTTAGCAATTGTTCAGGGGAAGTTGGGCCACAGTTTATTTTGCTTAGACAAATCCCTCTTTAAGATGGCATTTATATGAAACCCTAGTGGCACGAATATTGTCAAAAGGAGGAACCCACTAATAATTAATATTTTAACCATATAACTCACATTCCCCCTCATGATCTCTTTATCTTTGGATGCAAAGCTGTTAAACAATTATAATTTCCATTTGGGGTGTTGAAAATAAAGGCCCTAAGAAGCTCCTATTTTTATTTGTATGAGAATTATCTATTAATAAATAGCCACAGTTCTTGAACAGTATCTCTATAATGCCTGGTTATCTGCCTACAAAATACAGAAAAACATGTTGTCAATCAACAGTGTCCAATCTGCGGCTGCATGTGGTCTTGGACAGCTAAGAATGCAGCTCCATAAGATAATTAAAAATATTTTTAAAAAATTAAGGAAGTTTTTTATTTATATAGATTAACTATAATATATATATTATATGCTGCCCAAGACCATTCCTCTTCACTCAATGTGGCCCAGGCAAGCCAAAAGGTTGGACAGCCATGTTGTAAACTATAAAAAACATGTTGCATACCGTATTTTACATGGCTAATAAAGGTCCAGTTGTGCTTCTTAACTGACTTTGAATGTACTTTTATTTTGAAATGGCTTTGTTAATATTTCTGATAAATTTATTTTAACATTTTCAATATGGATTTCCCCCAAGAGATTAATAGTATAAAACAGTGATGTCCCTGTCATATTTATTTCAGGATGGATCAAATAAACAATGGGAATTAAAAGTTATATTAAGTGTTATGCCAAGTGTGTCAATCAATCTGTCAAAACACAAAAGGCCTCTGAACTTTTACAGAGCATTTGCTTTTTTTAAATTTCCTGATGGTGCTAACACAGTAAAGCAATGATTTCCTAGCAATTTATTAACAAGGCCTGGACTGCTGTTTTTCAAAAAAGTGAATTCTACCATCCTGGTTAGGCAGGACATCTGCATGGCAATTTATGCATCTACAGCCTTTTCCAGCGACTTTTAAACAGAGCAGAAGTGACCCTCAACATACCATATCAGGGAGTAATTAATGTCATTTATTTTAAAAGTTTCAGCATGACATCTAATGTCTGGATCTTAGCAAACCAATTCAAATTTGTCTGCTCTTGAATATCTTCAGAGAAAAGTGTGATTAGATTTGCTACTACGTGTTCTTTCATATAGCTTGTTACAAGACAACTAATGTTTATCTGAAGGTCCCTGAAGTGTTTACCAGAGAGATATGACATTTATCTCAGTTTAATATCTCCTGATTACACTTCAGCACCAATTCAGATACTGTCATAAACAATGTGCCGTGGCATTATTTAAACAGTCCCAGATGGATGGATGGATGGATGGATGGATGGATGGATGGATGTCATTTAAGAATAATTTGGGGGTAACTAAACACTTTCCTGAAATGTGCAGTTATTTCTCTCCACTGAATGCTTACAAGCAATGAGAAATTCTGCCTGCCTGCCAATGGTCTGAAAAATATGATATAGCAGGTCAATATAACAGGAAAATATGGGCTTCCTTGAAGAGGTTCGTCCTCTTTGCTTTGAAGGTGATGTATGATGTTTCCATGACTTGGCGAGCTCTAGAAGTAATATTTTGCATGCAGTGCCTTGTAACATAACAGCATGCAGGAAAACCTGGCAGAAAATAGCATTTTAATATTAACTATTCCTTTTTCCTATCACAAACAGATTTATTTGGGCCAAAAAAAATATTATTTTGGCAACTCAAATGTAAAACAGATACTTGGGGGACTTGATTAACATTTCCAAAATAAAGTGGTTGGGAGAACTGTGATGTGGTTGAAATACTGATCAGAACTGTAGCACATGAACAGCACTGCCCTTGCTAGAATGATCTAGGAGCATCTAAGAAAATGTTCCCAATGTAACGCATGGTTTAAATGTTGCCATTTAAACCATGTGTTAAAGACAATGCCCACTGTAACTTCTCTTGCTGCCATTGGACCGTCTGGGCCAATGTTGATGGAACATTCAAAACATGGACTCTGCTTTACAATGACTCTCACTGATGGGGGAAAAGCTGTCTTTTATGGGGTGAATCATTTGTTTGCAACGTGGTTTGGAGATTTTTCTCCATTCTCAAACAAGAATAGCATTTAAAAAGGACATCATGGCTTGGTGGTAGTGTGGAAGTGTCTGTTCCATATGATGAACTGATGTTCTCCGCACTGATTTACTCCAGAATCAGTTTTCACGAATGGTTCAAGGCCACTTTGAGGAGGCAGACATATTCTGGATCAGAATTGCCTGAATTCAAGTGTTTGTAACTCTATTGCATGAATGTTCTACTCCAGAAAAGATAACTTTGTGTTCTATAGTTCATATATGTGTGCCTTATATCTGAGATGGTTGGAGGTATCCAGAGTAAAGGTATGTGATAACACAGATGGCATATCCATCTCTTGCCTTCTATTCCAGGATTATATATTCTACTTAGAGCCAGAGAAGCTGGAGTCAGGCAAAGGGAAATGCTCATATGACCCGAAGGTGGACACAGTATCAGCATTAATAAGTGAGTTTCTTGGCTGCATAATGTCAGTTTTTCTAGTGAGTATTGTATTAGTCAACAAAATCCCTTACAAGAATACTTTGCATCTGAAGAGCCACAAAACACTAAAATCACCCCAAAAGTTGGTAATAAGATTTTTTTTTATCACAATGAGTTTCTGAGAATTCTTACAAAGAAACGGAACGAAAACTATTTAGATTACATTCATTCATTTTCATTTATTAAAGAAGGGATTGCTTCTCCTATTGACATATAACACTGAATTTATTTGTATTTATTTATTCAACTTATATGCCGCGCATCTCATCTGGAGGCAATTCTTGGTGGCTTACAATCATTAAATTGTAATGATTTAATGTAGAATTAAATAGACAATTAGCAGAATTAGTAGAATTATCAACTGTTGTTCTGTCATAACTAATTCATTAATTTAGTGAACTTGATATACCATTAATTCTTGAACTCTCTCAGCAGTTCATAATAAAAATAAAATACAATCAAAGCATTAGAAACAGTTAAGATAGCAAAGAAAAACCAAAGAAAAGAACTAATAATTAAAATGAACAAGGCTTAAAAGTTCATTTTAAAAATGAGTATATGAACAAACTTTGTAAAAGGTAACAAAGACCTTAGGCCCTTCCACACTGCAGAAACTATATTCCAAAGAACAGAGATTGCCACTGGATGAGGTTAACTTCTCAGAGAATTCAGCAAGCATTGAGATAAATATTATTATTATTTATTAAATGTATACAGTGCTGATCTCATGGCACGTGGGAGATGTTTTATTAAATATTCTGGACCCAAGCAATATAGAGCTTTAAAGGTATCCCATCAGGATGCTGAATCCATATTAATTCCACTGATCATGCAGAGCTGCCATAATTTCTTCCTGCAGTTTTAATCCTCTCGCCTTCGTCTTTTGATAATCAACAAACTGTGTGCTTGGCCATATGAAAAAAAAGGGAAGGGACATGTCTTACTGGTTTTTATCCTCATGCAGACCTTTCTGCTTTATGCACCTGCAGATCGATTCCAAGCCTGGACCTTCTCTGAACTTTGGCTAATGCGGTGTCTCCCTTTCCCAGATGGCTTCTCCATCTCTTATGTGGGAACTCCAGTTCCACAGATATTTTGCTTAGGAGGAGAGCTGGAGTTACATAAGCTCACAGCAGGGAGATCATTAGGAATGGTATCATTGTCCTGCTTACCCCAGACTAACTAGTGGCACAACAGCTGCACTGTATCTCTCCACCCCACCCCCCACCCCGCCCAGTCAGTTCCAGGACTGACCAGAGTTCTTGCTTCACACAAAACTCACAGCCCCTTGATGTGACCTGCCAGCCTCTGATTTTGTCCAGGCAACAGTATCCATTTACAGGACAAGCCCTAAAGTTTAAAATTAATTTGGCAGCAGCTGTGACCCCAGTTTGGGAAAAGCAAGAGTTGTGCCCTTATGCCAGTGCATCAGGGCCTGATGAACAGCCTTGCTAGTTCCATTTGGTTCATTATTAAGTCCTCTGTTATGAGCTTTGGAGCAGTAGCATCAGCAGAAAAGCCCCATGTCCCAGGCACACACGCTTTATTTGCATATTTGCTTAACAAAACTGCCAAACAAAAAGATGTTTGCTTTTTGCCCCTGAAAGACTATTTTAAGTCTTTAAGTGGACGTGAGGGGTTAATAGAACAAGACCTACACACACTGGCCGCCTTCCTGCCTCAATTTTCCTAGTGGCTCCTTAGAATTTGGCAGAAGCTAAGAGCTTGGCCTCGGGCTCATTATGAAATATTTAAAAGACTTCTTGGTTTGAATTAAGCTGACCTTCAGAATATAGGGATTCAGTGGGCTTATCTTTAGGACAGGGCCTGGGAATTAGGAAAAATAAGGAAATCTGTGTACTTCACTCTTCCTCTTTCCCATATCTTTCTGCCCAATATTGCTCCCTTTTCAGGTACAAACCACACAGTCCCATCTACTACTAGCTGCATGTACAGTATTTAAAATTTAGGTTGCCTATTGAAGCACTAACCTGAGCAGCGGTTCTTGTGACTAAAGGCAAAACTGTGATAATACAGTTGTCAATACACTTCAGTATTGTTATAGCTGGCCCCATTCAGGAAAAATAAATTTTGGATTCAGTTTCTTCTTCTCTTGACATTATATTAAACACCAAAGGTTCCTCTTTCTGTTTTCTGAGATGGGCCAGGGAATAATCCCCCTAAACATGCTTTCCTTCCCAATATTCAGTTCACATATAGGTTGCGACCCACTATTCTTGTGTACGGGGGAGGGAACGGTCAGGGGGAAGCTCCTTTCTAGTCTTCTTCTGCTCTGTTCATAGAAATATTATGAAATATCCAGACAGTGCTCTTCTCTTCTGTTTGTAGACATCTCTTTCATTCCGCAAATCAGTGGAATGAGTAAATGGGAATCCTAGGTGAGCAGAGTACACTTGCTTTGTTCCTAGCATAGGAAAGAGGGTCATTTATCATCATATAGCTTAACTTTTCCAACCCTAATGCCCTCAACAGAAAAGTTGTGTTGGACAACTTTTTCCAGGACACTCTGCCAGCATGGCAATACAGTCATGACAAGAAATTCTATAAGGCATTCCTTAGAATAGAACAATTGTGTTTTCTTCCTCCCCCTACCCCTATTTTTGCCTCTTGCTCACAGATGAAGAACTCTATGCTGGTGTCTACATTGACTTCATGGGCACAGATGCCGCCATCTTCCGCACTTTGGGCAAGCAGACTGCCATGAGAACTGACCAATACAACTCCCGTTGGCTCAATGGTAAGTGAGGGGCATAACACAACAGAGTTTGTGAGGGAGGACAGAAAAGGAGATTGTGTTCGACAAGTGAGTCCAATGTACATGCCACACTGTGGGAAAGAGAACTGGTGCTGAAATTGATTTCTTAAAAATATTTTTCTGTCTGAAAGCAGCAGAAACATTGTCTGTGCAGAGCTGAAGGGTTCCTACACTCACTTTTTTATTGTATGTTCCTTTAAGAAAGAAATACCAATTAACACACCTATACACTAATTTGCTTTCATTATGCTTGTGGGAATACCCAGCTATCTCCTTCCTTATTTTTAAATCCCCTCTGTCAATGCACAACGTGGTATATGACACTCCAGATTTGATTTCTTCAAAGTATATGGTATCGTGTCAAGTCATATCAGCTTTCTCTGATTGGTTTCTTTTATTTATCCATATATAGCCTGCTCCTAACTCAATTATGAATCTTCATTAAGCTCTTTGGATCCAATCTTCCTTCTTGGTGCTTTGTGGGTCTTTTTTAATTATATTTCCATTCCCATGACACTCTCCATATCTTTCTGCTATATCCTCTTTCATATGATGCACACATTTCTTTTTCAATCTTCATATTACATTGATTCCTCCTTTCTGTTCTATTGTCCTTTGCTCATGCTGTCTATCAATGTTCAAGAAAATGGGATAGAGTTCTTTCTTTTTTCATGCTTGTAGCATCAACAGATCTGAAATGCCTCATGGGTGGGTGGTTTGAAAAACACAGTGTTTGAGGAATATATACTTGTTGATTTGATGTTGCTCAATGCCAAACAACTCTGGATGGCTTGCATTTTAAAAAGTAAAAGCAGTAAAATATTTCAAAAAACCCAAATGATAGGGGTCTAGAAGAAAAAAAAATGAACAAAAAGCAACCGAAAGAAGTTCCCAAGGCCTGGGAGAACAGCAAAACCTTAAAAAGATTTTGGAACATCATTAGGGTGGGAACCAAATGGATCTCTGGAGGGATACTATTGCAGAGGACAGGCACTGTGGCAAAGCAGGTCCAAATGGGTGAACAAATAGAGGAAACCTTGAGGGGTGTCTGCACAATCTTAGGAGATGGGCAGAAACAAGAGAAGATAGGTAGTTCCACAAAGATTCAGGCTTCATAGATGATAGCCAGTCCCTGGAATTCACCAGAAATCCTAGAAGCAAACTACACAGCTTGTGGAGCAGCAGTGTTACATGGGCATACCACGCCACATCCGCCACTGCCCAGGCTGCTGTACTTTGGATCAGTTGTAGCCTCTGGGTAATCTTCAAGGGCAGCCCCATGTAGAGCAGGCTGCAGTAATCTGCAAATGCTCATTTGTTTACGCTTAGCAATATCAGATCGCTGAAGGTGACATAACTGTACCAAGTGACAACTGACCTTTATATAATTTTGTTTAGCCAGCTGGGGAGGAATACAACTATTATCAGCTGGAGGGCCCCTTTGTTTGCTTCCAAGCCTGTGACATATTTCCCCTTCTGTTAATTCAAAAGCAGGCTGTTTCTGGCATTATTCCTCCCTACAAAGTTGATGGTAAAGGGCAGATTTGTATTCTTGTCATTTTTGATAACTGATCCAGAGCATTTAATCCCTCGCCACATCTTGTCCAGCATGCATCATGGAATGAGAGCCAATAAGAAAAGATCTTAGCCTCCTGTTGTTTGTAACTCCAGCTGTTAAGGAACAGCACAAGCAGCTGAGTAAACTGAGGCTGAATATCATATTTAGAGGAATATCATTTTAGTAACTTGAAGAGAGCTATCAGTTGGATTACATGGGACACCACATGCTTGACAATTCTTAATACTGATGTTCTAAAGAAAATAGTCAAACTTCTCCAAATTGCAAGCCTCCTAGAAATTCTTAGAAGTTTCTGAAAGTGGACAGGTGTCCTTGCAGCAACATAAATCTTATGTCAGAGTCTCATACAAAGGAACGTTTGGTACAAATTTTGGTTATTGGAAATGGACATTGAAATAATCAGTTTGGATTTACGAAATATTCCATGTCTTCAATAAGAAAAAGAAATGAGTGGACTTGATATGCTCACTGCAATGTTCTCCACTTGGCTGTATTCAAAAGAAGATATAGGAAGTGTATTTCTGCCAATGCAATGCCAGGCAAGTGAAATCGCCTGAACACATCTTCGTCTGCCTGTTTTACAGAGACATCTACTACTGGCTAGATTGCCAGGCCATACAGATTTCAGACTACTTTCTGATTCCCACATAATATATACTGTCCAATTACCTGTAAAACTTCCTAGGTATTGGACTGCAGGCTAGAACCAGTCCTGGTCAACACATGCCCGAGTGTTATGTTGCTATCTCTAATCTGTAGTTATTCAGCATTGCAAATTCTATTGCAGTAGCTTTTTTCTTGTAGTTCTTTTTAGACAGCACAGTTTATTATCTTATCTTATTTTATTCATCAGTTGAATTTTAGATAAATTTTAATTTTAGTTAACCTAATAGCTTTTTTTAGTTTATACTTTTATAGCAGTTTTATAGCTTTCCCCCTTACCATCTTTTAACTCTGTAGTCTTCACAAGTCCTAGACTGTTCTTATGTTATAGTTATCAATTCTATAGTCTCTGTAGAGTTGATAACTATAGTTATCAATTCTATAGTTGTCAATGAAGTTTTTACTTGATTCTGGTAAAAGTATTGGATTGTGGACTTGTACACTGTGGCAGTTTAGCAAAGATGCAAACAAATATTTTAAGGCATCAGTTTCTGGCATTGGTAACTTCAGAGCAGGTCCACAGGCAGGAAGAATTTTAGTTGTAATATGAAAAAAGATTTTAGTATATACCACCTTCAAATTTACCTACAGAGTATTTTATGAACTAATCCACCACTGCTTGGCATGGATTTAAATATTTTAATAAAATATTTCCAGCTCTAAAAGTCATGAACTAATCAAAACATATCATAAACAAACTTACAGTAAAAAGTGATGTTAATAAACACCTCATGGAAATCTAATTTTGCTGGGGAAATTTATGTAAGGACTAGAACACAGAAATTTTAACAAAAATATAGTTTCAGAGTGTTATATTGATTTAATTAAGATCATATTACACTTGCTGACAATTAGCCAAAATGAAAATTTTGACTTAGACAATCTGCAAACAGAATCTATAAATAACCTAAATGCATGCATGACGTGATGGAAGCAGGGCATTTTTATATTTTACTAAATGAAACAAGGTAGCATATCTGTGGCTACAGTGAAGTCACAACTGAACAAAACTTCATGAACTCTTTGTGAAGGTGCAAAAGCTGTTTTGTTGTTTAGTGAGGGTTTTGGGGTGGTATTGATGGAAATGACCTTGGCAGTATGGCAGGAACCTTGATGAAAAGAAGTTTAACAATATAGAAGATTTCAGAATTTGGCACAACGACAGCCCAACTTTGGTTATCATCAACTGAAAAGAAAACGGTTGTCCATAAAAGGACCTGCAGGGTCAATCAACTTACTCATAACAACATTCTGTTGACACACACACACACACACACACACACACACACACCAAAAACAAAGGCTATGTCTAAATAAATTCTTAATCTTCTAAGTTATTGTTTTCCTGAATGTAGCCCAACCATTCCATGAAGTACTGTGATACAGTATATTATCTGAAAAGAAGCTTTATTTCTTTTCTTAACCATCCTATGCAAGCAACTGAACCACCTTGGACATCTTCTTTTATATGCTAATACATAGGATGTGTCTATAGAAGCTGAACAGAAAATAAGCTGATGCAAGAAATAAAGCACTGAGTGTGGTTTCTATTTAGATAAGGGAACACAGAACTAACAAGTTTGGGATGGCTTTGTTCCTAAATTTTGAGAAACACTGCCTCAGCACGTTTATCTAGTATTACCCATGCATTCCTGTTCACTCATTTCAAGCACTGCTGTGTAAATAAAGAATTCTTTATTTCCTCATTTTACATTACAAATGGGATAATACAAGGAACAGAATTCAGAACACCAGCACGGTGGACTATAGCCCAGTTAATCATGCTGCTTGCTACGTTTTCTCCGGAGCGGTTGTGAATAGCTGCTTAGCTCACTGAATACTGTGTCAACATCTTTTTTTTCTGTTGGCTGAGATAAAGACTTGCCTTGAGTACAACTATCATCACATCCCAGGAGGGGGCTTCAGTGCAACAAACAGCAAGGGGTGTGGAATTCTTTCCAAAAAATAGTTGAGATTTTTTTGGGGGGAAGAGTGGTGGGGCTGGGGTATGAAATATTGCCTAAAGAAATTTTAAAAAACTTTTTGAAGTGTAAAACATTTAAACAATAATTAATTTACCGAGGTAAATCTTTAAAGCAAATTGCATGTCAGAGGCCAGTAAGAAAGGGATTAAAAATCGTACTATCAGCATAGCAATGTTCTCATACAAATCTGTGGCACATCCACATTTACAATCTTGTGTACAATTCTGGTGGCCACATTTGAAAAAGATTATAACAAAGCTGAAAAAAAATACAGAAGAGGGCAATCAAAATCCCCAGGGGCTTCAAATATTTTCCTTTAAGAAAAAAACTGAGTCTTTACACAGCATGTAATTAAGCTATGAATCCATTACCACAAGTTATGGTTGTGGTCACTAACGTCAATGAGTTTAAAAAGAGATTTGATACATTCAAGGAATACAGATCTATTGAGCCATTTGTCTTCAAGACTCTGGTTTCGGTGTGACATGCTTCAAATTGCAAGAGAGCCAAAGCAGGAGATTGACATATCTCCATCTCCTGCTTGTGAATACCCAAAAGACCACTGTAAAAAAACCCAAAATGTAGAAAAAAGGCTCACCTTGGCTTGATTCAGCATTTATATAGGAGGGGTATAAATATATCCCTTCCTCCTCCTGTTTTCCCCACAACAACAACCCCTGTGAGGTGAGTTGGACTGAGAAAGAATCACTGGCCCACAGACTTTCGTGGCTCCACAATATTCTCTTAGGATCCAGAAAATTCACCAAATTACTTCACATATCCAAAAAAATAAAATAAACCAAGATTAGTTTGAGCATGCACTTTGAGAATGAAAATATAAACTAGTGCTGGTGAATCTTGCTACAGTTGCATTATTAAAATTGCTTCCATTCTTTGACCAGATAATTTATGTTCTAACTTTTGGAGAGACAAAGATTCAGATTAAGAGCCAGTTTGGTGTAGTAATTAAGGCATCAGACTAGAAACCGGAAGACAATGAGTTCTAGCACAAAGCCAGCTGGATGAGATTGGGCCAGTCACTTTCTCTCAGCCCTAGGAAGGAGACAGTGACAAACCACTTCGGGAAAACCTTGCCAAGAAAATTGCAGAGACTGGTCCAGGCAGTCACCAGGAATACAATCTGACTGGACGGCACTAAAAAAAAAAAAATTCAGATCAGATTTCTGGTATATGAGCACAGATGTTTCAAGCTAATTTCAAGCGAGACCCAACTTTTGGCATGCAACAACTTTCTTTCAGTCTAGATCATTTTTCAACTGAGAATTTAATTTCAGATAAAAGAATCGTGTCCCAGACAAGGCTACAGAAAATGTGAGGCAAATAGCTGCAATTAACAGAACAAGCAATATGTTCCATTATAATATGCTAGGAAAAATTGCCAGTTGATAGAGTTTCGAGCCAGTTAACTTGGCAGTGCTTTGTATTCTGGAACAATAAGCTAAGTTCAAGCCTTAACTACAGCAGATTTGGAGTATGAAAAGAAAATGGAAGATGTTCCTTTTTCAGTGGGTGAATCCTGACACCAAAATGCTGCCCAGGTATTGTACAGATTTTGTTGCACTTGTATTCTCTAGATTTTGGTGTGCAAGGACCACATTTTCTTAAAGGATATGCTGAGGATCACATTTGACCTCTGACTTCCAGAGAGAGAACTTACAGTCTGTGGCAAAATTGTAGCTACCGGTATTAGGCTCCAGCCATGTATTTTACTATTTCCCCCTTCAAATTAACATTTGAAAACAATGTGTAGAAATGTCTGAAGGCCAAACGGAAGCTTTAAAGCTGTGGTGATGCAGTAGTTAGAATGCACTTCTGCAGGCTACTTTTGCTGACTGCCAGCTGCCAGCAGTTCAGCAGTTCGATTCTCACCGGCTCAAGGTTGACTCATCCTTCCATCCTTCCGAGGTTGGTAAAATGTGGACCCAGATTGTTGGGGGCAATGTGCTGATTCTGTGAACTGCTTAGGGAGGGCTGTAAAGCACTGTGAAGTCGTATATAAGTCTAAGTGTTATTACTATTGCTATTTAGAGGGGGTCAGTTGGGTACCACTGCTGTAAATTTCTGGAGACTGGGAGGAATATTTCTCCAATTCTTTTCTCCTAGTAACTGTCTTGCTTTTATTCCCCTCTGCAGATCCAGCATTTGTCCATGCAAAGCTCATCCCAGACAGTGCTGAGAAAAATGATGACAAATTGTATTTTTTCTTCCGAGAAAAATCCACCGATTCTCCGCAGAGCCCAGTTGTCTACTCCCGCATTGGACGCATTTGCTTGGTGAGTGCAGAAAAAAAACCCAGACTGGATGATGTTGAGAGTTTCCCATACCAAAAAAAAAAAAATCTACATAATCCTAAACATTTCTGTATTCCCTCATCCATCCTTTTCAAATGGTAAAACCCTCCTCTGCTCTCATGGTTATTACACCTCTTATCATACTTTGGTACATTGTTCTATAGCTAGAATATCTGTCTAATCCCATACAGTCATCTCTCTCACTCCCAAAGTTTTCCCTTGTGGGAACATTTTTTTTTTTAAAGAGTCTAATATTCCAGTTTAAGAGCAACCCTAAAAATAAACCTATTGATTCCAGCATGATTAGGTTGCAGTTGTAAACTATAGTCTGTGTGGCTTTGTTTTTTAAAAAAAATCACAACATTTATATCCTAGAGAGAACATATAAGTACTTCTCTGTTGTTCATTATGCCAACAACCTGGTGAAGTGAGTTTTGCTGAGTGTGAGAGAGCGACAGGCTCACCCTTAACCAGTGAAATTCCAAGACTGAGATAGAATTTCAGCCTAAATCTCGCTCTTCTTTGGTATAGAATGACGATGGAGGCCATTGCTGCTTAGTAAATAAATGGAGCACATTCCTAAAGGCACGACTCATCTGTTCTGTCCCAGGGCCTGATGGAATTGAAACACACTTCGATGAACTCCGTATGTATATTCATGGCAGGGATTGCATGGCGGGGGGGGGGGGGGGGGGGGGGGGG